AAAGATTAGAAGAAATTCCCTAAATGGAGAATTGGGAAGGATAATTCCAGCACAGGTCAAAGCCATGAGTAGAGGTAAAGAAATGTTTGCTGTGAAGATATCTATCTACTTATGTGGGGAGAATGGCTTGAATCCAGCCTAAACACCTGAATCTATGTGGCGGTGAGGCATAAAGCTGAAGCCTATTCATTTGTGACTGGCTTTATTTACAAAGCTGAGAACTTGTACCTTGTCTTCCTGTCAGAATGAAGAACCATCATTTAAATAAGAAAGTGGCATGATCAGCTTTATAATGTTGAGAAATTACTGTAGAAACAATAAAAAGGTGAATTGGAGATAGTCCACTTGGGTACAATAAGAGATAAAGAGGACTACAACTAGGACAGTGGGGAGGAAGCAGATTCAGGATATATTTCTGAGGTAGAATCAATAGAATTTGGTGACAAATTAGATGTTGGGGTTGAGTAGGGACTCCAAAAGCATCTGATGTTATGCTAATATCATTAAGCAAATTAAGTATGATAGAATTAGGAACAGGTTTGAATATTGGGTTTTGGATATGTTGAGAGACACTGTGTCCATCTGCTGGGTAGATTGGACTTTAGGAAAGATTTGGGAACATGGATTAGGAACTGTTTTTCTTGGTGGTACGCCCTGCCCATGTATTGTCTTAATCATTACATAACCCTGAAAGATAGGTAGTGTTGTCCATGTTTTACAGTGAAGAAACCTAGGGTTAGAAAAATAAGTCATTTGTCTGGGGCCACGTAATCACATGTATTTTTCCATCTTGCTTCTATTATCCATTGCTGTGTAAGAAGCCACTCCTAACTTTGGTGACTTAAAGCAGTAATTTATTGTAATTTCTCATGGTTCTCTGAATTCACTGAGCTCAGCTAGAAAGTTCTGGCTTGGGATTCTCAGTTGGCTCCAGTTGGATGGTAGTTTGAACTGGAGTCATCTCCAGCTCCACCTGGCTGCATATCCAAGATGGCTTCTTTATTGGTGTCTCAGCTGGAATGGCTGAAACAGCTGGGGGCAGCTCTGTGCCTCCCTCCACAAGGTCAGGCCACATGATTAGCCTGGACTTCCTCACTCATTTGCCTAGCAGTCTTGGGGTAGTCAGACTTGTTATATGGTGTCTGACTTAACCCAGAGGGATTGTCCAAGAGCTAGGCAGCAGCTGCAAGGTCTGTGATGATCTAGGTGTGGAAATCACACAGCATCACTTCTGCTGCATTCTGTTGCTTGAAAGTGGGTCATAAGACCAGCCTAGATTCATGAGGGTAACTATATGGGAGAATGAATATGCAAAGCCCATCTTTGGAGATTAGCTTCCTCCACACACTGCTGGCTTTGGGAATAGTTTTTAGATGGCCTGGCAATAGATGAGCCCTAAAATGGCCTTGCTAAAATGTGAAAGGAGTGCAAGAAGACAACTCTGGGAAACAGGAACGTTTGAAGGAAGACCCAAGGAAGAGGAGTCAGTGAAAAAATAATAAAGAGATAGAGGAAGAAAATTTGGGTAAAGTGATGCCATAGAAGCCAAGGGGGGAGGGAGTCACTGCCACCATAGCCACAGGTCCTTAAATTTGGTTAGAAGGGCCCTACGGTTCACATGTACTCAGATAGCTTACAATTACCTGTGATGGGGCCTGGCCTTTTGCCAGCAGATTTAAAAGACTGCCCTTTTTTTCTTTCCCATTCACCCCGTGTCACCTGTACATACCCAGTTAATGCCTAAAATTCACGTTTAGAACTTAAATGGTTTATTCCAATGTGAAATATTTACACCTTAAGTTATTTGTAAATTGTTGTGATTACATTTAGGATACTTTACGGAGAGTGGACTTCCATAGAGTAGAAAGAATATAGTGCTTTTGTTCTCTATGTGGAATGAGGGGGATGGGGAGGTTAGACAAATGGCATACTTCTGCTGGTCTGCTGCGATATCCTTTTGAGTTCCAGGAAGGTAAGTGCCATGCACTGAATTATATATAGCTGGAAAGAATGGAAATGGGAAGTTTTAAAATTTTTGTATAAAATTGATACACTGGTGTTTTCTTTTTTTCAGAGCACAAAGTTATCATTGTTGGGCTGGATAATGCAGGAAAAACTACCATCCTTTACCAGTTGTAAGTATTAACTACTGTAAATCTATTTTATTGTTTATAGTTACTTTTTCTGCTTGAGTGGTATTTGGTTTATGAAAGCAATAGAAAATTATATGGAATCCAAGTTGCACTGTAAGAAGGCAAGTTAGCCATGAACCAGGAGCCAAGTTTAAGCAACTGTTTCTAGACTGCTAAAAATTTATGACAATGAGCATGTTGTTCAGTTGTTTTGCTTATAGAAAGTAAAGAAATATTTGTTTATAGAGTTCCCTGAAATGAATCTAGAATATTGCAGATAGTCCACTTCCTAGGTTCCACCTCTGTTTAAATCCTTAGTTACAAGTTAGTGGAAAAGGGAAATTTGGGTATAAAATATAAAAGAAAGTCATGCTGATTTATCCCTTAATTGAAAAATGTTCAGACAATAGAGCTTCCTTGCTAATTGTAATATATTTTAATCCTTTTTTTCCCAGTTCTATGAATGAAGTTGTACATACATCCCCTACAATAGGAAGTAATGTAGAAGAGATATTGATTAATAATACACGTTTTCTAATGTGGGATATTGGTGGCCAAGAATCTCTTCGTTCTTCCTGGAATACTTACTATACTAACACGGAGGTATGTTTCTTAATATACTAAACCTTCTATGAATAGAATGCTTGGGAAACACCTTCTAGATATGAACTCTTGTAGTTAATGTTTTTGAAATATCATAGTATGTTAGCATAAGTAGAGTTTAAACATAGTGAAATCTTTGATTCCCTCTTTCAGGGTCGTTGTTCTGTATGTCCATTCTCATTGAGCCGCTTTATGGAGGATTGGTGATTGATTAGTCTAATTATGTATTGATCCCAGAGCCTGTCTTAAGTAATTATTTTTATAAAGAGTTCCATTTTACAGTTTGTAATTTCACTTCTTTCTTACTGTTTATTTGTGTCTGCATAGAGTAAATCCTAGTTAAATGAGAGAGCTCTGGTGGTTTGAATCCTGGCCAAAATTTTACTGTGTTCTTTCTTTCATGCAGCACAACTGCACATTAAAGAATTCTTTTTCTTTTGGTTATAAAGCAATTTAGACATAATCGTATGTTTTATTTACCTTTTTTTTTTTCAAAGAGGAAATTTCAGACCTATGACATTTGAGAGCTTCATTGTATAGATCTTATAAGTTGAAAGGCTGTGACAGTTGTTTTTGTAGTGCTGATTATAAGTCAGTAAAACTCCAAATATATATAAGGATGAATATTACATCATTAAGACACTGTTAAGTGTCTCTAGTGCCTGATCCCGTAATACTCCATTAGGCTTTTGATCATGTCGGTTGGAGAAGGAGAGGTGTAAATTGTTAGTACTCATATATAATGCTGCAGGTATCAAATTCATGGCAACACCTTGGAAGTTAATAACTTTATTCAAAAGGCTTGGAATAGAACAGGTCCTACAGTAATAAAACCATATATCACTAAGGTCTCAAGTAAGAGAAGAGGTAAAGTAGCAGCTCTCTTACCTATCTAACTTATGGTTGATGAAATCTGAATAATTGAAAAGCCCCTGAAAATTACAGTGGTTTAGTTGGAAATGAAAAGTTAGTTCTAAACGATAAGTAGTACATGCTAATAATAGGCAGTCAGAATGAACTCGGGCATCACAAATGCCATCATAAAGTGGCTACATCTGCTCCTGTTTCCCTGGTGCTTTTTGGCGCTCATGGAGTTGAGGAAGAGGTGCATTATAGCTCAGTCCTGCACAGCTCCTTTACAAGTCTTTGATTATGTCTTCTGAGGCTAGTCTTATCATCAGTTCAGGAAAGAGTTGTGCTTGCAGGTAGCATGTGCCATTTATGGCAGCAGGAAGAGAGCATGGTTTTAGATACAGATTTATTTTCTCAATTTGTTGATTTTTTTAAAATTGATTTCTCTGTCACATCACTTTGCTTCCATACACACACCCTTTTAGATTTTTTAGTTGATGTTAAGTATTATCTGTCTAGAAACAACTTAAATTTAGGACCATAATGTATTTTTATCTTACTGACTTACAGTGCAAATAGGCCCATTAGCATTTAAGATACTAATTTAGAAAACAGATGTGTGTTATATTTTGGTTAGAATATTAGAGTAGTCTAACAGAATGATAACATCATATTGTCTTTTATTTTCTCTTCAAAATTAGTAACTATATTTGAATTAGGGATGGATCAGACTTTTACGATTCACAGTGTATGGTGGGTATATCTGGTTTCCAATCATACCGTATCATAAGGTTCTAATTTCTTGACGGTTGTAGCCTGTAAATCAAATAAGCACTTTATTAATTTTACAGATAGCAAATTTTGCAATCACTAATGATTTTTTTGGTAATTATTTTAGTTTGTAATAGTCGTTGTGGACAGTACAGACAGAGAAAGGATTTCTGTAACTAGAGAAGAACTCTACAAAATGTTAGCCCATGAGGTAAGTAGGATTCTGGCATTAGATGTGTGTGGGGGGTATTTCTGTGACATTTGTTCTTTCTACTTTTTCATGAGGATACTATTTCAAGTTTAAAAAAAAAAATCCTTTATCTGCTGGCCATGCCTGCTTTATAATTTTGACACTTCCCAAATTGGGAACGTATCTAGAAGCAGCAGAAAGATTGTGGAATCAGTTTTAGAATGTTAATTTCACTTATCACAGATAAATTTGGTCTAGAAGTTTTCTTGAACAATAAGACCTAAATTGGCTTTCGCTTTGCATTTTGAATAGATTAACTATACAGAGGATTATCATTGGAAATGATATTAATTAATTTAAAACTTCGTTAGAAAGATACCCTAGTTTTCTTAAGCTTTATTAAAATGCCACTGAAATTAAACAATTACATAAGATGGGTGAATTGTATTCAGAGTGACTCAACTTCTAGGAATCATCTTCACAGATGAAGCTTTGAGAAACAAGTTGACAACTACATATGGCATATAGAAGATGCTAAGTAAATATGTTTTGTATGTGCTGTTATTCATCTTCATGACTAAACTAAAAATATTTTTAGACTCTTAAGAAGAGAAATCTGTGCTATGTAGCAGAAGTTTTTCAGTGTTTAAAATGAGAGACGTATGAAAGATCACCACTTTTACCTTGTACTTTGACTTCTTTTTAAGTCAAGTTGAACAGCCTTAATCCAATATTATCTCTTTCCTATTACTATCATAATACATAATTTGTTGTGAGGTTATTAAATAAAAGGTAAAGGAAGATTTTCTTTTGTTTCTTCCTAAATATTTAAAAGTAGGTCAAAAGGTTAAAAAAAATCAAGAACCTTTAATAAAAAAGTTTGAGCCTATGAAATCTAGAAAAATTACCTTCAATATGGATTCAGTTTTATGGGGGGTTTTTTTGAGAACTTTCAATAATGATTTTATTTCTTGTGTTTTCCAATTATCCATCTAGGATCTTCTTCAAATAATTTCATTACTAAAAGTGATAAATATATATACTTGTAAATAAAATAGCATAAACTCTGTGCCCCAATTTACGCTAGGTATTTCCAATGTCAGGTATCTCTAGAGTTTGTTCTTTGAACATGCTAGCATTGGCAATCCTGACCTATATAAAAGATTTCAACACACAGTGGCAAGAGATAGTGAAACCTAAATGATAGGACGATAGGAATTAAATGACATAGGAAGTCCATCTACTCAGTGATTCAGCTATATATCAACTGTTGATAATTGTTCCATTTTCTGATTAGGATAAGAGAAAAAATATCCATATCCTTGATAATGTATATGTATACTAGCTACAGTTTGTCCCTTCAAATTTTTGCCTTCTTTGTAGATAGGTGAACTGAACTATAGGTGAACCAAATTGAACATAAACGCTTGAAACTTATAAGTTCTAGAGTATCTCTTTCTGACCAAGCTCTTGAGGTGACAGTCATTAACTGTAGTAGCGTAATTGCCATCCTGCAGAGGGCACTGTGACTAAGTCAGTCTCCATTGTTATATAAAGCATATTACACAACTCCTTTTAACCAAGTAAGAAATTTACCACTTATATTTTTTATTTACATCAAAAAGAATCAAAGAAACTGTATTCTAACAAGAGTAAAATAATATGGAGCAGTGTTGTTTTAAACCTACTGAAGACTTTCTTGGCTTCAAACATCTATACACATAATTAAAACCAAAATATTCAACTAAAATCTCTAAGAAGATAGCATTCAACACAGCTGGGAGAACTTGCAAACATAGCACCAAAACCTTAGTTTTCTCAGTATCTCTCTCTATATACAAGTGGAATTTTATGAGTTTAATCTGCTTGTTGAGTACAGCCATCATCATTTCTTAGCCTAGGATCCAAGAATGGATTTTAGGATATCTATTAACACCCTAAGATTGTATATAATTTTTTTGCATGTGCATTTTTATGAGGAAAAGGTCTATAACTTTCCATAGGTTGTCAGGGAAGACGTTGGCTGTAAAAATGGTTGGGAGAGGGAAAGGTAGAGTACTGCAAAAGGAGACCAAGAACTTTTGGCTGGCTTTGTGAGTAAAGTGTTAGGTCAGTCAGTTGGGGGAATGCACAAGGGTAAAGCTAATTCTCATTTGCAGAGCAGTAAGTACACTAACATTTGAACTGTCACCAAAGCTAGGTACTGAACTAAGCACTTAAATGTAGTAATTCACTCATTCAGACCACAACCCCGGGAGGTAGATGGTGATCTCAGCATTTTACAGAAGAGGGGCAGCAGCTATAGTAGGAAGGTCTCAGCTCAAACCTGGCTCTATTATTGAGTAGTTATATGACCTTGTATGAGTTACTTACATCTGAGCCTTAGTTTCCTCATCTGTAAAATGGGAATAGTTAAGTCTTGTAGCAGTCTTGTGAGGATTAGAGATTTTATTTGGGAAGTGGTTAGTATGATGGGTGTCTTGCTCAGATTAGATATTCAATAAATGTTAGTTATGAGGAAGAGATTCAGAAATGTTAAAGAACTTACCTCAGAATCAAAGCATAAAAGTGGTAGAACTTACTATGCAGTTGGGAAATTTGGTAAGTTCAATGCCAATCTAAAAAGACCCTATCAAATATTCAAATCTAAGATATCTTCATGCACAAATATAGAAGAGCTAGGTCTCAGAAGATGACTAGGATTGCTTTAAGAATAGCACCTCTCAACTGAGAATTAAGTCCTAAGGCCCTAAGGTTTATATTGTATATAATGAATTAGTTTATTTCATATGCACCTAGAAGATGCTAACTTTAGGTATAAACATATATCTAAAGTATAGGTTGGGGTAGAATTTTGTTTTAGTAGCCACAGAAGCCTAGTTTGGGGTTGGGGGAAGGGTTAGATATGTATTTTATCGGAAAACGTGACTTTGTTAAATACAGCACTTCGAATCATAAAAATGTCATTTTATAAAAAAAAGAAGTAAATCTATATAAATATGGACTGATTTATTTAAAATATGTTCAGTTTGAAGTTTGCTTTCTATCATAACGGCTGTGAGATAATTTTATGTCAAGTAGTTGAGAAATTCTAGCTTACAAAGATTATCAAATATATTCTGTTAATGAAGTTGGAAAATGTTACGAAAAAAATGGGCTGGCCCTTATAGTTTTGTTTGCTTTTATAGGACCTGAGGAAAGCTGGATTGCTGATTTTTGCTAATAAACAAGATGTTAAGGAATGCATGACTGTAGCAGAAATCTCCCAGTTTTTGAAACTAACTTCTATTAAAGATCACCAGTGGCATATCCAGGCATGCTGTGCTCTTACTGGCGAGGGGTAAGGTGTCTTCATCATGAATTACATGTATTTAACTTTGAAACATGTTATTTCTCCTTAAAATCGAATATTTAATGTTACCATGTACAAAACTTTGTAAGTTAGAGAGGTTAAGACATAGTCCATGTCTACAATGAGAGAGTTTTTAGTTTGATTCTGTAAAGAATTAGACCCGCAACATACACAGAACATGTGTCACCTGTGGATGACAGTTACTGTAGGAGTTCAGAGGAGTGGGAGTGTCATGAGAGCTGGAGAAGTCAGGAGACAGTTCTTACACTGTTGATGGGACTTACAGTATAAGAAAGGAACTGACACTTGCTAAGATTGTCCTGTGTCTTGGGTCCTTTCTACAGAGTGTGTCATTTACTCCTAACAATCATGTAGACCAGTTGTTTTTAATTCATACTTTATGCGTAAAGAAGCTGAAATAGAATATTTGCATGTGAGACGAGTTTGGGGATATGCCACCACTGTTGTCAAGAGTGAGTTACTACACTTAAAAAAATATAAAAGTTAGAATTGGAGAGAGTATGGCTTGAAGGTCCTTGGCTCTGGAGTGAAAGGTAGGTACTTGCAGTAAAATTTTGCCCAAGACTAATGCCCAGAGATGAAAGGACTTTGAGAAGGCACCAGTTGTCAGCGTTGTTAATTGTGATGTAGAGGACCAGGAGGATGTGCTATTATGAGAGATGGAATAAAGGAAATAAGAAATAAGATTTTAAAAAGCTGAAAGGATGAGCAAGCTAAAGTCTTTGTTGTAGTTATTTTTCTAAAATATGGTAGATCTGTGTATTTAAAAGCAGAAGGAAAAGAGTTAAATTGGAGGTGAAGTATTCTGAATAGAGGTGTTAAATTGGGCTTGAATTTCAACTCAGGTATTGAAAAGGGCAGCAACTTAGGGCACAGATAGATAGTATCAATATTATTTGGTTTACCCTTTAGCATGGTCTTGAAAGGAGGAGAATTTCTGCCACTTGCTGTTAACTCATCTATCCATGCCACAAGCTTCTGCCCTTCCCTAACACCTGAAGAACCTCAACCCCAAATTTAAGAACTTTATTTAGAATCCTTAATGTATATGTTTAAAAGCAGAGAAAAAAAAGTTAAATTGGAGATTAAGTCCCATCTTAGTGAAATAGAAGACATTATTACCTGATTACAGATATTTGGAAGAGCATAATTGGAACCTCAAAAAAGTGAATCTATTAATTTTTTTAAAATCACAGATAGTAACAATTGTCCATGTACTCATTTAAGTAAAAATATCTTTTACATATTTGTCAAATAGTTTAATACATGTCAAGATACATATGTAGATATAGATATATCTTTATATATATTATCTTTATCAAAGATCTTTAAGCAGAAGCACTGATATAATACTAAATTTGGCAACAAAGACAAATCATGTAAGATTGATAAAAGATTTAACTTACATACTTTGAGTAATTGTGTGGAAAATACATTATTAGTTAGGTTATGTATGAACTCTGACAGTTTTATTTTTAAAAGAAGAAATCAACAGATGATGGTGTCTTTTCAGTTTGGGGTTTATGTAGACTTCCATTTGCAGCAGTTAAAAAGTGGAAATGTTTGGTTTAGGGAAGGATGTTTCCCTGTGTAGTCTGACCACCTTGATCTAAATTCTTGGTTTTGGTATTGGTCAACATTTTGACTGCCATCTCTGCCACTTGCTAATCTCCCTAAGCCTGGGCTCCCTCTGTAATATGGAAAGAGTTCTGGTCTTAGTGTTGTGAAGGTTAATTAGGATAATGGATACTAAGTGCTTAGGGCAATTTCTAGTTTCCTATTAGGTAACTACTGTACCTTTAACAGTTTGGAATTAAATAACTTACACGCCTGTTATTCTTAAAATTTGTACAATTTCCTATCAGACGTTTAAAAGTAAGGAATTGGATGATGCTCAATTACCTACTGTTCAGTGATAACTGGTGGTAGTGATACGAGATTTATTTCCTTCAGATTTTTTTAATATACAGATATAACATGAATATTGTGTGTGTAATTAGTTTGAACAACTCTACTATACATTCATTATCCTGCCATTTCTACTTCATTTATGTCATGAGAATTTCATCATATTGTAAAATAGTCTTTGAAAGGAAATGTTTCATATTTCATCATATGAATGTTCCATAATTTGTTACATTTTTTTCTCTATTGTTAGGCACTTAAATTTTACTTTTTCCTATTGAGAATGCTTTTGTGAACAGTTTTATACATAAACCTGTCTTTATCTCTGATCATTTTTTAGGATGTATTTCTAAAAGTGGAGAAAGGGGTAGAGAGTATTGACACTTTAAATATTTTGAAACTGATTGCTAAATTACTGTCTATGGGCACTCACTATATAATTGTTGAGCCCCTTTCATGTGACAGGCAGTGTTCTCAGCACCAGAGACAGAACAGAACCAAAAAGCACAGGTGTGCTGTGTATGAGAGTATGGCATCACTGCTATAGCACTGACATTAAGTCTTACTGATTTTTTAATCTTTGTTGTTTAGGTAGATGAAAAATGATCTCTACTTTTAGTTTACTGTTCATAGCTTTTTAGTTGAGAACTTAATCAAAAGATTTTATTTTCTTTATAGATTATGCCAAGGACTTGAATGGATGATGTCACGGCTTAAGATTAGATGATCTCTACTGACCTCTTCTCATAGACTTTGTATAAAGTGCTGGACTTTACATGAAAGCTGCAAAACTTAATGGTTTAGATATATTTATAATAAACTGAATTAAACATTTAAACTTTTTCTATAAGAAGAAAAATTAAGACCACTTATTTGAAAACAAAGATGAAGTCTCACCTTCCAATCTGCTTTCTCATTAGTTCCTTCCAAAGCAAAGTCTTAAAGCTGTGATTGACACTTTTCTCATAATGAATCCTCTCAGGATGTTGTGTAGCCTGTGGTAAGTACAAAGGGAGAGGAAGACATTTTTAACTTTAAGAGCTTTATTATTAGTATAACCCTCCCTAGTTGAATGTTGTTCTCCTCTTGTTCCATTAAGTCAAAATACAAATCAGCACAGTTACTCAGTTTCCAATATTTTAAAGTGTAATGTTACTTATGAAAAGTATTTTGCCTAAGGTTGTTTATGTATTGTGTATATACCTCAAGTTCCAGTTAATGGCTTTGATTTATGTTCTAAAAAAGTGAGTAACACACAATTTAATAATATCCTTAGTTATAACCATAGTGAGATGAGTACTGGCATTGGTGGTAACTGCCATTTTGTACTTGCCGTATGTTCTCTGTATCAGACTAATCAACCCCCCAACTCATTGAGCTGCTCTTTTGAAAAAAAAAAAAAAAAGAGAAAAAAAAAAAGAAAGACAGAAAAAGGAAAAAACTTGACATTGTCTACCTAATTTTTTGTTGACCAAATCACATACATGGAAACAGGTAATCCAGCTGAGTGGAAAATCTATCATATTCTTGACTTAGTATTACTAATGGACAGAATTGCATGTTGAGCAGTTACCAGATTGTTCCCTTTATTGGACCTTATGCCATCTAAATTACTGAGTAAATTGTTAATCCATTAATCAGTCAATCATTACTTGTGATTAAAGTCATTAAGTGATTTTTTTAGCATTAATTGGAAGCTGTTGTGTGAAATATATCTATCCAGAGAAATGTCACCCTATAAATATTATCAAATAATTTAGCCAAAGTCTTCTTAGATATTAAATTATAGGTCAAGCATTTAAAGTGAATTTGAGATGAAATGTAAAGCATATTTTCTAAGCAACAAAGATAATTTCTTAATTTGAAAGTTTCTTATTTCTTAAGAGTTGGAATAGTTGAGTTTTTTTTGTGGTTTGTAAGTTTTCTTTTAGCTGCTCACTCCATAATGCATTGTTTGACAGTTAAAGAATACAAACCTTTTTTTAATGCTTTTAAGAATTTGGTTTAAAAATTGATCAACTTAATGTTTTATTTTTACTAAGAAGTAACTTGGCCCCAAAACCTTTTATATTTGTTAGGGTTTTGTTTTTGTTTTTGTTTTTTCCAGCATCTGAAAGTCTAAGATATTTCTTTTGCAACTGAAAACAAACTTACCCTAAATGTGTTAAATCGTATTCTTGTGTACTCTGTTGGTATATCTGTCATTCCCTGAAAATCTGATGGCTAATCCAAAACTGGCATGCTTTAGAATATTCAAGGAAAAAAAACTACTTTTAATACCAGCCTTTTAGATTTCAAAGATTTTCATGAGAAATAATAGTATGTACTATAAGCATTGACAAAACTTTGAAAGTTCCTTTCTATAAAATATAAAATACTCATTATATAAATCCAAGTCAGACATGGCAGGTCAGTGTTAAACATAGGATGTTTTGTGTTTTATATTATAATGTTCAAAATACAAGTATAACCTTTTAATATTTGTCAACTTGCTTTTACAAAAGTAAATCTTAATTACTAAGCTTTTTTTGTTCATATGTCCTCCTACTTCTTCAGATCACTATAAGAAGTTGCTTGTATGTTAAAAACCCAAGTCTATTTTGTAGATGTTGCAGTGTCATCAGAGACAAATTTTCTGTAAAATAGCCCAGCAAAGACATCTTTTATCCTTTTTATCTTTTAATTTGAATAATCATGGTTTAGTCCCTTGGGTTGCTGCCACATCGGTTCAACAGTATACCAGCACATTCCCTTGTCATCATGGTGTTGGCCAAAATTTATTCTTAATTGGATGTTTAAAGCATGCCCTACATTGTTACAGTTGGTTTAGTGATTGACATGGCATCATAAGAGTGCATGAAATCTTATGCCACATTTACAAAACATGTTTTTTTGGTCATATTCTATCCTCTAGGCCAAGCACTAGAAATAAGGGTGATACCTTTATACTTGTGCATAAAACCAAAATTATAATGGAGAAAAATGTTTTTAATTCATGTATGAAAATATAGCAAAATCATTTTAACAGTATTACTTCCAAATAACACGTAGAGCCTCATGAATAGTCTTGTTGGCAATTTATGTGTAGTTTAAGTAGAATTAAGCAAAGGGCAAAGCTTTTGGTTTTTTAATATGCTACTTTTGGGTGTAAACAAACATCTTATTTAGGGTTATTATGCTCAGCTTTGAAAAGAACAAAGCTTCATACCTCTGTACATGTGGCTGGATTTACATATTCTGTGTTTGATACTAATTTTGAAAGTCAAATTACTTCTCTTGATATCTTGGTAAAAGTAACCATGTTGCTATAAGCCTTTAAATATGTTTAATTTTGTCATATAGCATTTAGAAAGTATATCTTATGCATTATAATGAGGATTCTTGTTTGACATTTTCAGTTCTATCTTCTTTGGCCCTCATAATGGGCAAAGAATTACAATGGAGGCAGGTGGTTTGGGAGGCAGGGGAAGGGAGTATGACATTTTGCCTTAAGAATAAAAAAAGTGCTTCAGCACTGCTGTCTGGCATTTTTAATGGAGGTAATTAAAATGATTTTAGGAGCATGGTATGGAATAGAAGAGGAATTTCTCTTTTCTGGTCTTCGAGAAGTGCCTAACAGGTAGTGACTGAGATCACAGAGAAGTGCAGGGCACTTAAGGAAAGTCAGGAAGGCCCTGAGATGTCCTTTTCTTTTTTGTCTGAGTGTATAGTATTAAGATGCCTAGAAATGGGATTCTGTTGTCCCCTCTTACAGGCACTTTGCAATTCTTGCTGTGACTACAGCAACCACATACAGTACAGACAACCTCAAAATTTGTTTATATTACTGTAAATAGAAAAACTAGACAGCTTTCTAGTTTTCTCTGCTGACATTTTTTGAGAATATATCTGTAAATTTTGTATGTAGGGGATGGCAGCACATCCCGTATTATCTGTGGACTTTGGGTCATCTTCTCTCAATTGCCCAGTTGTATCCTGGAATCAATCCACTTTTCAAGGCTGGGTAGAGACAAGGTTTCTTTGCATGACTTAACTCTGAAACTTCCCACTGTCCAAGTATAATCTGGAACTTCTTGCTTGAGGATTGGCTTTCCCCATAACTCAGCCATCCTCCTGTCTCTTTGTTCCCTGTCAATGAAGATATGCTGTCTTGGTCTTGGAGATATTCGCAACTTTACCTATATCCATTGTTCCCCAAACTACTAATTTCTAAGTAGGTTCTCTAGTTTTTTGCTGTCCTCCCACCACTGGCTTGATTCATTGATTTGCACTTCACTCATTGGAGAGTATTGTCAGAATTGAGTACATCACAAGACTGGCTTGCTGTGTGCACAGCATATAAATACCAGTAGAGTCCTTTAAATTATACTGTATTTAACATTTTAATACTTCTTAATTTTAGCTTCATATGCTGAAAAGTCGATTCAGAAAGATAAGAGAAGTACCTAGACTCTGCCAGCTCCTTGAGCTACCAGTTAGACATGAAAGGGATAAAGTTAAATGTGTATTATCTTCATTACCAAAAGTGGGTTACGTTTTGAAGAGTATCAGTACAAATAGTTTGAGTTGGAAAAAGTCACCAAACCAAATTCATATGTAGTGTTTAACATGAAGACATCCCCCCATCCTTAAAACCGTAGATCACATTCCATTTTTTTTCTCGTTTACCTAAAGAACTAAGATAAACATTAGCTGTCTAAAGGAATTAATAATGAGAAGCCTGTTTTTACAAAATGAACCTGTTGAAATAGACTTTAAAAGATATCAAAAGTATTAATCATCATGTATTGACACTGTGTAGATGCAGGCATAATATAGAAAATACTTTTTTAATGTTACACTTATACAAAAATGAAACTTCTATATTATGCTCCCTCAAAGAATATATGATCATATTAAGACCAGAATGGTGGAGTAAAGGAAAGAAAGACAGAATTTTAAAACTTCGAAAGCTAAAGAGTGACTGCTTCCATTGAACCCTAAAATTGTGTGTGGAATTGTGAAGAAATTGTAAGAGAATACAGTTGGGTAAATTATGCAATATTTCTTATCAGTTGTCTAGCCTTTGTGTATTATTCTAAAAACTGAAATTTAAATCTTTATGGTCTTGCCTGCTAGATATTCTGTTCTTTGGTAGAAAATTCCCATAGTCTGTACTCAAGAAGTGCCTAAAATTGATTTGTGTTGATTTTTAAGTCCATCTAATAAATTATATGTGTTTTCTATGGTATTATATGTGCTTGGCTTACTGATGATACAGCCCTGAGGGTTTTCAAGTCACAGTTTTTTTGCTTTGTTTGATTAAAAAGCCTTGAAATGGAGAATACCTATCATAATTCTGAATAAACCATAGGGTAAGGAAGCATGAACGAAACCATTTTTTCTCTTTCTTAATACAAATATTTCATTATCCCAGTGTTAGTTAATGCAGAGACTAGAAAACTGAACTCTATTTCTGTTTTTTTAAAATAGTTTAAACAGACAAAATTCTGTTTAAAATTGTGTGTTTTAAAACCTTAGTAAAAATGTGTTGCTTGTGTAGGAGGAGTCTCTTAATTCTTCTCATACTTAGTGGTTAGTAATTTTGAATCATATTTAGATTTTGAGCCACTTTATGTGTCAACACACCAAAATCCTTCCTCTTTCGATTCTCCTTAGAAAACAAAATACTTGATAGAACTTTATTATGTTTCTCATATATCCTTTCTTCCTTCCTTCCTTCCTTCCTTCCTCCCTCCCTCCCTCCCTCTGTCTCTTCCTTCTTCCCTCCCTCTCTGTCTTCCTTCCTCCATCCCTCCCTAACCATAGAACATGACTGTAAACTGAGGGCAAAGGCTTGACTGAATTTTCAGTGATTCACAGTTACATTTTGTTTATATTTTAAATCATCTTGCATGGAAAGTGAAATGTATATATGATTTTAATTATCGTAATATATACTGTTTTCTTCCAAAACTTCTTATGTTGGTGACAGAAAGAATTCCTCTAATTATTTTTGCCTGAAACTAATCCTTCAGATTAAAGTAGCTTTTCTTATGTATGTCCCTCTGTGGTTCCTTGAGAGGAGGTGATACCTGCAGAGCACTTTTAAAGATGTTTTCTGGGTTAATGTAACACAAGATAACATATTGAAGAGGAAGCTGTAATTATGTCTAATGAGGGCTCTTTTGGTTGCTAGAGATGAAAAAATGTATATTAATTTTAATTTGTGCTTGAAATACATTTTACTAACTTGATTTTTAAATGTGACAAACTCATCTTGTAGATATTAATCTTCCTTGCTTATTGTATTTTCGTAGAGAAACCTGGATGATTGACATTTGTGCTCTATGTATATTGACATAGTTGAAGCTGCATTTAACAACAAATTAGAAACCTTTTGAAAACTTTTAGGTTTGTTGTATTGGAATTTCTAATATGATAAAAGGTTTTGACTCAAGTTTTGTAGGCAAGAAGAGGTGGGAAATTTGTCTTATCTCTTTATCATTTTGTTACCTTGTATTTCTCTATATCCTAGGAAAATTTTACACTCAAGGAATATTCCAAAAAGTGATGATCTTAGAGCACTTGGGTGCTTTTGTGTTTCATCAGTGCTGACATGTTAGGTACCTAGGGAAATAATGCTTCAGGGTCTTCTTGACAAGACAGCTTCCTGGGTGGCTGGGGGATAGTTATGTTTGCGCTTAGGTTGGGACAGAGTGGCAGATGGTGTAGGGACCTCTCCATTGGTGAAGCAGTGCAATCAGCTGCTTTTCAGGTGTGTTACTTCATTATACTTGTAACATCACCCTTGTATCCATAACTGACTGAAATGTCAGGCTCCAGAACTGTAAGGTATTGGGTCAGGTGACCAGTAGTAGGACTTTGTTTATAATGAAATAAAGGAATAATGTTAAGTAAGGTATACTTGGGGGAAAATGAGAAATATGATTTTACTGGTGAATTTCCATGTTTAAAATTATATTAACTTTTTTTTAAGTTGCATGTTAACCTGGGATAAAATATTGTCTCTGCTTTATGCTTTGAGTAAAAAGAAAAAAATAGATGAGTTAATTGTTACCCTATTATGTACTGTTACACACGCCTTTTCTTTTAGAAAAGGTTAATTATAATTACTATTCACACATCATGTTGTCAGTGTTTTTTTTCTAGTTTCTTCTCCTAACGTGTGCAGATTTGGTGATGGCATAGCTCTATTAACTGTCCAGGGCTGGGATCTACCAGGGCAGGTGAAAAGGTGTGACAGCCTTATTGTGCAAATAAGAAGATTGTCCTCATCTTCTCTAGGCATCTTTTTATGGAACTTAGTCAGCTAATAGCATTCTGTCTTTTACTTCTGGGTATTTGAATTGTACATGGACCTGATAAATAGGGACGTTTGTGTGATTAATTTGTCTTAAAATGTAAGGAAAGTCCAGTCATTTTAAATGAATATTATTAAAGTGAACATTCATGAGAATGGTTGATAGTAAACAGAAGAAAGTTGCAGGTGGTGGCGGGAAGTCAACCCACACATACACTTATTTGAGTTTTGGTCTTTCTCCCCTCCTGGAATGTAAGCTCCAGGACACCAGTGACCATGATTGTTGTGTTTACCAAATTATATCTCTCAGTGCCGAATGCAGTGCCTAGTATATAATGTTTGTTCAATTTATGTGTTGATAAATGAATGAATGAACTGTTAATAATTCTGTGAGTTTTTCTCCATGGATAAGTAAATTTTTCTTACCTATGTGATCGTAGCATACTGCCTCATTTAATTCTTATCTCAGTTTAATTCTTATCTCAATTTTTATTTAATTCTGCCTTATTTCAAAAGAAATTCAATGTGATTATATATTTTTCTGATTAGTTCTTCTAGTAGAAATAAGACCTATTTCCCTAAAAATGGCCTAAAAGCATCATGCAGTGCAAATAAATACGTACAAATTTTATTTCTTTGAAATCTGTGTGAATCTGCATCTGGGAATGTCAGGAATGTCAGATGTTTGTTGTAAGCCTCTGCAGACATTAAAATAGTAAATGGTACAACAGCTCTTTGGGAGAAGATCTGTGTCATCTTCTTGATCTTTTATGCCCTTCCCTTTTTTAGTTTCCACATGTGGAATATCCTCTTGGTGGTGGTGAGATAACCTTTGTCCCAAGAAAAGAATGATGTTTTCACAACGTAAAATAGCTTCTGGCAGGCCTTTTGAATATGTTCCTTGTGACTGGAACCAACCTTTTGAGGATTCCAATGAGTTGGGCTGCATAGTGACCTTACGTTCTACATTACAGCAAATCATTCTATATCAAAATGGATGAAATCTTTTGAAACAGATCCAGTGCTTGGATTCTTCTAGTATTTAAATCCCCAAATAATATTCCACCGTATTTCCATTATTTTCTTGTACAAGGAATATTTTCCACTGCAAGTTTTTTTCATAGTTCAGAGCATTTCTCTTGGCTAGAATCCCAGAAGAGAAACTACTGGATTAAATGGTTTGATGCAATTTGAGAATGCCTATTATTCCATATTTAATTAATACTGTGTATTAAGGAAAAAAAACTTTTCCACTCTAATAAAAGGAAAGCATGTTGTCTTATTTTGCACTTATTTGATTGAGACTTTTTTTTTTAATACGCTTCAGTTTCCTCTTATTCTTTTGTTTTGTTCATTTGTTATTAGGATCTTAGTGTTTTTCTAGTGAATGGATTAAATTCTTTAACTAGTAAATATTATCAGTCCTTGACCATTAGACTTCCCAATTTGCCCCTTTAATTTTTATAATTATCCTTTTAGCATATAAAAGTGTTCATTAATGTAAAAAGTTCCATAAGAAATGCATAATTTCTTTGAATGAAAATCAGGAAAGAGATACAATAAGCAAAAAAGAAAATTAAAATCATTCATTGTCCCATTATGTTAATAAAACCAGTAACAACACTTTGGAATGGGTATATATTTGAATCAATATTTCGAACACAGAATTCCAAAACACTGGATAATTTTCTAACAACATACTTAATGAACATCTTTTACGTATAAAACATTAATTTAATGGATGTATTGTGTTTGCCTGTTTGGATTATCATAATTTATTTAACCAGTCTTCTGTAGATACATATTAAGTTGTCGCTTACTTCTCACCATTAAAAATAATACAGTTAATAATTGAATTTATTTTTTATTCAACTTACAAGTTGAATTTGCTGTGTAAACATGTGTGGATTTTTAAAAGGCATTATTGACATATTGCCCAATTGTCTTCCCAGAAGAGTACCCAAATCCTGGTTAGTTCTTTGCTCAAACACATGGCATCTCTGTACTGAGACATTTCATATTACATTACGATTTGTTAACCTGCCCACTACTCTTCACAGGCCATCACTGCTCTCCCTATGCTGTGCTTTATGTTCACTTGTTTGCCCTCATCCAACAAAGGGCAGCACAGAACTTCTCTCTACCCTTGAGTTTTCTGTGATCTTTAGCCTTTAATTGTTGTGCAAAGTTTACTTGTTATTCCACTTGTAATGTATCCATCCTATGCCAATCATTGACTCTTTTGCGAAAGAATAGAAGGAGAAAAAAACTTAATAATATTCTTCCAGCTGATCTTTTTTTAATGTGGGGGAAGAGTGATCCCTAACACAGTCATCTAACAGGTGACCTGTCTTCTGCCTCAATGCTTTCCTGCAAATGTAGCAGTCTACAATTATCAGCCTTCAATCCGAGTCCTTTTACTTTTCTTTTAAAGGTTCTTCATTTAATAGTTTATATTCATTTTAGTAATATAGACTGTACTCTTTCCTAACTGTGACTGAAATTCTTATCTTATTATCTCTTGTAAGAAATTTGCTTTTGATGAACAAGTTGAACAAGTTTTGAACTTGTAGGAACACATCTTTGTTTATTTCAAGCATTACCTGTTTCATTCTTTTAAATTCTTAGCTAATCTCTGGGTGAAAAGTGATACCTCATTTGTGTATTTGAGGTATGAGATTGAACATCTTCATAGATTTTTGGTTATTTCTATTATATAAATTTTCTCCTTTGTGCATTTCTATCTCCTTTGTACTGCTTTGTGAAAGTTGTTTTAAAGCACAGTGATCTTTTGCCATGTGTCATTAAATTTTTTACATTTGTGGTATCAAGTGGTATATTAAGTTGGTTGCAGAAGAATTAAAAATTTTAGTTGGATATATTAGGCTTTCTTTATGGTTTATCTCTTGTTCAAAATTTTTATGATGGAGGAGATGGAAAATAATTATAACTAATGGCTGTAGGATATTTTTATCTTTTCCCTGAGTGGATGATAGTGACTTTCTTTTTTCCTTTTTTCCCCCAATGAACTGTTTGCAGTTGATGTGATAGGATTAATAAAGAGGAAATGATTGGCTTTTCAATCTACTGGAATATATGTCCTGCATTTCCTTTAAGTGTCTTTAACATCTTACCTTTTTTGTAGGATCCTACTTAAGCCATACATTGCATACAGTTTAAAGGTAAAAAGTATTGAAAGTCCTGTGTTAATCCATTCAAAATATAGATCCAGTGTCCATTAATGTCCAGAATATTAAGGGATTTGTTAAATTATAAGATGAAACATGCTGCCATTAAATTTTTTTTTACAAGGAGATTTTAACAACATGGGTAAATAATTGATGGTTGTGACATGTTAAGTGGGAAAAAAGGATACAAACTTTTACATCTAGTATGATCTCAACCGTGGGAAAAAAGCATAGAGAAAAGGAAGAAAATGTATCATAACATTATGTATTATAGGTTGTTGTAAGATGACAGCATTATGGCTGATACTTTTCTCATTCTTTATACTTTTGTACATGCCAGATAATTCTATATTTAGCATGTTACGTTAATACTTAGAAAACAGTGTTGGATCAATTTTGTTTGTTTTTAAAGAATCATCTTAATGAGGGGTGGGAAAAATACAAAAATATTTCTAATTTATAAGTAAATAAGATGCAACTCATTTGTTTTCTCTTCATCTAACTGTATTTAGGGGCATTATTGAGGAGAGATCAAGGTGATTAGTAAAAATTAATTCACTGATACAATACCATTTGCAAACTTCAATTGCAAAGTTGAATAATTTTGATAGAATTCTCTCCAATCATGGTGGATGTAAAGGTATGAACTACTCTTTTAGCTTATTGTTGATATTTTACTACTTTTGAAGGATTCTTGACCATAGGTAATATCCATTCAGATGGTTGTTTTCAAAAGATACAAGCAAAATGCAGTGAGAGTTAGAAAAAAAAGTAGTAGTATCACCAGTTGGGTATTCAAGAAGTGTTTGTATTAGTATTAGTATATAGTAAGCCAAATACTGGACGGAGAGACAACTGGGTTATAAACTTGGGTCTGCTGTATAAACATTTTCAGTGCTTTAAGACCTCAACTTCCTTATTTTTCAAAACTTTTTTAGCAATGGAACCCTTTTTTCATAAATGATGTTCTGTGGAACCTTGTAAAATAAAAACAGGTAAAGTTGGTGTTTTTTTCTGTGCATTTTTCTGTAAGTTCCCATATTTACTGGGTGAAAAAAAGGCAGTATAATTAACGTTTAATTACTTAAAATTTAATTTAATTTAATTTAAAATTTACGTTTATTTAGAATTTTTTAATGTGTCCACTTTTTGAAAGTGGGAAAATAATTGACAAAAAGTGGAAAAAATTGATTTACTAATGATAGAAATAAATTTAAAATATGTAGTGGCCTTATTGTACATATAAATGTGTTAACATTTTGACCTCATTTTAATAAAACTTAATTAAAGGATGTATTTTAGAGAGGAAGTAGTAGTCATTTTTTAGGAAATGTAAGATCTTTTTTCAGATTATAAAATCACCTGCTTGTTTTTTGTATTCAATAAATGAAGGCCAAATTAAAATTATTTATGGTTTAATGGATTACTTCACTGAAATTTGCTAGTTGAGAATGTTACTTAATGAAAGTTGTGCATAAATTTATACAACATTTTTCCTGGTGAATGTGGCTCTCAAATGTTTTAATTTTATATTATCATTTAATTAAATAACAAACTTGTTTGTTACAGACAAAATTATTTGCTACCCTTTAAAATGAAAACATTTAAGAAACTATCCATGAAAAAGCAAAGTTGATATATGAATAAAGGTCAGAAGGGAATTAAACCAAATGGTTAGCAGTGGCTTTCTCTAGGGAATGGAATTGTGGAAATGCAAAAGTCTAACGTGTATGCTAGGTATAAAAATGACTTGAGTGTAGCTATAAAATTATTTCATTTTTATTTAATAATTTAATTATCAGATTAAGTTTTTGAATTGGTATTAAACTAATTATAGTTAAACAGTATGTGAGTTATAATTTTGGTAGTAAGTTGGAACAGAAATATAAGGAATATATCTAATGAGTAATGAATATAAATAAATTATAATTTTTGACTCTTGACTTAACATCAAAGTTAATTATAGTTAACCTACTGCTTTGAATATTAGAAAACAAGTTAACGCTTTAAACATTAGTAATGTATTAAAATGACTCTTACTTTTAAAGGGGATTCAGGTAGTTCATGTTAAACTTTCTTTTGATTTTAAGTTGCCAGCTGCTAAAGTACAAACGTGAGAACTTTCTGAATACTGTTGCTGTAAACAAGCGTATATTCTGTTCCTGCTATGTGAAAAGGAGCCAAATGTAATGATCGTGGTCTTATTCAAGGACAGAGTGCTGATGATATCATTTCCATAGACAGTACAATGCTGCAGCTGGCTCTGTCAGTCTAGGAGGAGAGCTCACTTAAAAAAAGACCATGAAGTAATTTGCAATTCAGAGGCAGTATTTTAAAGGAAATGAGCTGGAAGTCTACTCATTGAAATCAAAGGAAACCTTGTGCTTTCTTTTTTTTTAGTATTTTTGTTTCTTCAAAGTATAACCATACCAGCTTGCGAAGCCCATGTAAGGAATTCAGGAAAAGGTGACAGTGTTAAGAATCTTGCTTTTTGGAAAAGTTCTTTCGAGGGAGACCTTGGAGGAAAAAATTGTATAGGTGTCTGGAATTTAAGCCTACATTGCTCATTTCATTTAAGACATTTAAGACATGTTTCAGAGATATTTATTAGTTATCTGTTCCCTCACAGTGCAAGGCTGACAAGTATATATGTGCACGAATCCCAACGGCATGAAAGCAGAGTCAGAATTCCCACCCTCCTTGGCTCAAAGGCAGCACAAATGAAGTGAGTAGCATTCAGTGGACCAATAACCTGGCCAAATATCCATTAAGTGCAAACATCTAGCTTTCTTAGGGGACAGTATTTTAGCTACAAATTATTTTTGATACTGTATGTATCTCCTTACTCCCCTTTTCTAGTGTCCAAAAATGTGTCTTTCATCTTCCTCTATTCAATAGCAAAATAAAATTCAACAGATACCTGAGTACCTACCATGTCTTAGAAACAGTACTAGGGGGTCAGGGATGCAGAGAATGAAAGCACATATGTTCCCAAGTTGCTTAATCTTGTGGGGAAGATTTATGACCAAATAGCTTGTGCAGTGTTAGAAACATGACAGATGGAAGTATTTCTGCTTCTAGTCATAAGATTTCTGACCTGCGTACCCTGGTAATGGCCCAAGACCTATTAAGAAATAAATCTGTGCCAGAGCATCTCTCCCTTTTATTACACATAGCATGGTTCTTCTCTTGGGATATTTTTTCATACTTATGTCTACTGACTTCTCTTTTCACCCCTGTACCATGGAAATTCTTGAGACATGCCACCACTCTGCTACTCCAAGTCACTCCGGGTTTTTCCAAACCTCCCTCTCCATCACCTTTTTGCTTTTCATTTAGACTCACGTCACCTACAGACATATGTTGCTTATGTGATTGTTCAGATGTCTGAAATGAGATGTAGATGTCAGAAAAATTCATCTTCTCTACTACCCACCTCTGACTTCTTCCCAGTTTCTCAAATTTCAGTACCATTGATCTTTGTCCTCAGTGTAACAATCTTCTTAAATAGAACGGCCTCTCCTTTTTTCCCCCTTCTCTCCCTTCCACCTTTGTTACCACCATGTCTGTTTCTTTTCTTCTTTCAAACTTTAAACAAACACTCTTGGAAGGTTCTAGTTTGAACTTGAAACTTTATTCCTTCCTTGAGTTTGTTCTTTCAAAATTACTGCTCAGGTTACTTAATAGTAGTCAGTTACATTATCATAAAAGTACTAGTATACCAAGTACTTTACTTTAAAAGTAGATTTAGGAGAACAATGACATTTCAAACATTTGCTAGTGATTATACATTTATAGTAATAATGTTCTATATGCATGCATAATTAGTAATATTCTGTATGCACATATTTCTTGAATTCCTAGTCCACTCAACAGTGGTATCAAAATTAATTCTAAAGTGTTGTTTGAAAAGAGAGTGAATAGGGAACAGCCCTGAGTTGAACTTTCACATGTATTTAGAGACTTTCTAGTTGTCTAGACCTTTATTTTTTTCTCCTTCAAATACTAGGACTACCTAAATAAGCCCATTGAATCTTTCAGCATACAAGAACCACGAATTCAACTGAGTACTTTTCTACAGATTTACCTATTCACCTGTAAACCAATACATCTTTTTTCTGTACTTTTGTAACAATTTTTTTTACAACAAAGTAAGCCAGAGACTCCTTGAAGTTGTTTATTTCTCCCATAATTGTCCAAGGCAGGTGTTCCAGTTTGATGGCCAGGTCCTTTCGTCTTGTGACTCTACCATCCCCAAGGTCTTGCTGTCAACTGCATCAAGCCTGAAGACGGGGACAGAGAGCATGGAGGTATGTCTGCTTCTTAAAGGCCTCAGTGCTGGAAGAGGCATGCCTCACTTCTGCTCACAGTCCATGGGCAAGAGCCGGTCACAAGGCCACCTCACGATAAAAGAGAGGCTGGGAAACACAATTCCTGGCTGGACAGCCCCTTCCCAGATACCACAGTATCACAGTCAGTGAGAAGAGTGGGGTTTGGTGACAACCACTCTGTCATTTAGGGCATCTGGACAAGTTAACAATTACACCACCACAGAAGATAGTAAGTTTAACTTGGTTAACAGACTAGGGGACAAGTCAAGAAAGGCTTTGGGGAGGAAGTGGCATTTGAGCTATGTCTTAAAAGAAGAGTGTAAGTTAACCAGTTGGAAAAGAGGAAGAAGATTTTAGAGAAAACATGCAAAAAGATAAGGAAGTATGAAAAAGTAGGGCCTATTAGGGGGACAAAAGTAGTGCAATATAAGTGGATTGTATTGTGAAGCCATGATAAGAAGATGAGCCAAAAGATGTGGCTAAAGAGGCTTCTGACTCAAAGGAAAAACTCATGCATTCAAGATAATTTTGTGGGATGTAGAATCCACAAGGGTTGGATGGGAGATGAGGTCTGAGAGGTAGTGAGAGGCCACATCACCTAGGCCTTGTAAACCATAAGGGAAATTTTGGGTTTTATTCTAAATAAGACTAAACTAAGGACACACATGTATTTATTCAATCACAACAAACATATTCTGACCCTCTTCCCCAAAACACAACATTACCTGAATGATCCATGTCAATGTAGTGTACCGATATGGAGTGCATTATTTTAGAGTAACATTGACTTATTTGATTGAATGTCCTCAGCTGTCTCATGGTGAGAATTAGTTCACATGCAACAGAAGTAAAGACAACAGGTATGGGGAGAGGAGGGAGTGTGAAAATGCCAAATAATGTTAAT